ACCGCAACGGATGGGGTAAGATACGCAGGTAACAGATGCTGCCCATCCTTTGCTTTGATGGGGATCGCCAGGCGTCGCGCCGCTGAAAGTTGTGCGTGTTGTTTTTCCTCCAGGCTACGAACTACGAGGCCGACTACTACATCACCTAAATCGATTGCAGGTCCCCGGAGCAAGTGAGCACCATAGTGGGCGTACAGCGGCGTAAGAGTGAGCCAGTGTGGCCAAACATGCCCCACTATCTCAACCTTTGATTATCTATTATGTGTGTGTGATTGCAACCGTTACGGCATACATTGGGCTGCTTGGCACGGCGTTCGGTATGTTGTTTCGAAGGCTGCTCCAGAAAGTACGCTACCGACCTTTGAGGAGATGCTGGGCATTTATGTCAAGCACGTGGTGGTTGCAGCGTTGTGGTAAGAGATAGTTTGTTTGGCCAGGCATGTCCCACATACTTCTTGTTCTCCCGTAGTGACGGTCTTCTTGATGAAGGAGATGGGGTGCGCAGCTGCGTGGCGCCATTTTTCTCTGCATTGGAAGACTCGTTGCATGGCGTCGTCGTCCTATTTCGCGGTGTTTAGCGCAGGGCACTACAATTCACGCGTCAAGAGTACGTGGCTTGGTGGGTTCCAGCATCCCTGTGATGAGAGACAGTGCCATGTGTGGGTTGGAAGCCTCGCTCTGCGGTTGTTAGCTGTTTGGGAGAATGGACGCGCGGGCGCCAACAGGGTACGCATCACATTAAACGTTACCTGCGGGCGCATCCATAGGCCTGACTTATGTGTTGTTGTTGGAGGCGCGGTTGGACAACCTCCCAGAGCTACTGCCTCCATGTCTTCTACGCCCAGGTGCTTTGGGAGCTCAACAAGATGCATGAGTTGTATCTACGACGAGGCCGTGGTTGAGTTCGCGGCTCGGGGCTTCGGCACCGCAGACACCCGCCACCGTGCCTGCAGCACTTTGAGGCATGGATCGATGCCAAGGGCTACCTGGCAGAGTTCTGTGGCCTTCAAAGGGACCACCCACCCTTCGTTCAGCAGACCTGCGAATGCACCACCCCTACTCCCAAGAGGGCCCTGAGCGGCCATGGCGCATCCATGCGGCTCTCCAAAGATTCAACGACGGCACAGGAATGCGACCAAGGCCACCAAGAAGCCTCCAGCGCAGCCAAAGATCGCTCCAAGACGCCCAAGATGGCCCCAGGACGGTCCAAGAAGCCGCCAAGACGCCCCAAGAGGTCCCCAAGAGGCCGCACAAAAGGGACCCGACAGGCAAACATCATTGATGTGCCTTAGGTTGTTGAAGGATTTGGGCGTTCTCGCTTGTTCTGCTTTCCGACCCCAAGGCCCACGAGGCCCCAAAGACCGCCCAAGACGGCCCAAGAGGCCTCCAAGAGGGCCAGAACACAGCCTAAGAGCGCCCCAAAACGGCGAGAGGCGCCCAAGACGGCCGACGAGGTCCCCAGGATGGCCCCAGAAGCCTAAGAGCGGGAACACGAACCGAAAATCCGAGCCGTCCGCCACAAGAGGCCCCCATGAGGCCTCAAGAGGTGCCCGAGAGGCCCCGAGAGACCCTTAAGAGGCCCAAAGAGGCCCCCAAGAGGCCCCAAAAGACGCCCCGAAGCGGCCACAAAGCAGCACCGAGAAGGCCTCAGAACTGCCTCCAAGAGGCCCCGAGGGGCCTCCCACGAGATCCCCACGAACATCCGATGAGGCTTCACACACAACCACACACACGCACACACACACACACAGACACCAGGCACGGTGGCGGGACTTGCCGCCGGCAGCTGGCATTCTGCCCTGGAGAGGCAGGGAGGTGGGGGACCGCTCCGTCTCTGGGGCGGCCTCGCGGCCTTGCGGTTAGGTCGGGCATGTCCCCGTACAGGCGGATTTTGGACGAAAAATGTAAAATACCCAAAGCATACCCAAACAATGTCTCAAACATCGTCCTCCGACTATTTTTACTATTATACTATGTTTGAATATTCCTCCTGTAGAGGGACAGGCCCGTTTTCACCTCACGAGCCTGAGCAGGGGCGAGGGCGCGGGAAAGCGCGACATCGCCGAGCCCGCTGTGCTGCTCTCGAGTCCTCGAGTCCTCGAGCCTTCCTTCCTCTCCGGAGAAACCACGAGGCACCGATACCGCAACTCCTGTAACCTCTCCCAGGGTGCGTCCTGACCAGGATCTCGAGGCGAACCCGGCGGTGTGGCGGCGAGGGCCGCCCAGGAGGCCCAAAGGGGGGGAAACGAGGAAGAGTAGAGGTATGGGTACTCCGAGTTTCTTAATAAGCGTCGGGGGGGCGTCACCCCCGCCGGCAGCCCCGCATCGACCCCGTCGCGAGCAGCCACCGCGCGCCAAAAGCGCTTCAACCCCCGTCGCGGCGCGACGACGAGGCGAGGTTGACCCCCACGCTTAGTAAGAAACCCAGAACACGTGTTCCTCCTCTGACTCCCTCCCCCCCTCCCTCCCTCCCTCCCTCCCCTCCGCTCCCTTCCGCCCCTCCCCTCCCTCTCCTCCGCCTGCCAAGATCTTCCCTCGAAGCTCCAGGGGAAGTCCTCCAGGGACCTCCAGGGGTCAGGATCCAGAGCGGGAGCGAAGCTCATCACCTCGGCCTTCTCTCCAACCGCATCCAGCTTCCCGTCCCTCTCGCCGTCGCCCTCCTCCTCCTCCTCCTCCTCCTCCTCCATCTCCTGCAGGCGGGCATTGTCTGCGGACCCAGACGTCCGGCCGATCAGGCCAGCAGAATGCTGCAGAATCCTCCTCAACCTCCTCCTCCTCCTCCTCCTCCTCCCTCCTCCTCCTCCTCCTCCTCCTCCTCCTCCGCCTCCTCCGCCTCCTCCTCCTCCTCCTCCTCCTCCTCCTCCGCCTCCTCCTCCTCCTCCTCCTCCTTCTCCTCCTCCTCCCTCCTCCTCCCTCCTCCGCCTCCTCCGCCTCCTCCGCCTCCTCCTCCTCCTCCTCCTCCTCCTCCTCCTCCTCCTCCTCCTCCTCCTCCTCCCCCTCCCCTCGAGTCACCTCCACTTCCCTCCTTCGCTCCGCTGCCCTTTCGCCCGCTCGAATATCCTCCGCTCGAGTATCATCCCCCGCTCGAGTCTCTTCCCTTTTCCCTTCCCCCTCCCCCCTTCTCCTCGTCCTCTTTCGCGACGGCTCGATCTGAGAATCTAGGGGGGCAAACAAACCTACCTCGCTTTTGACCACCCTCGCTTCCATGAGATACCAAACGATGCCAAACTACGGCCTGTACTGGTCAGGCGACTTGACGAGGAGGCGTGTGGTATGACTTGGTTTTGCCTGGAAGCGAAAGCGGGGTAGGTAATTCACGCTCCGACAATCTGAACAAGGCTCTCCTCTCCCTCCCTCCTGACACTGTGCAGTGCAGGCGACACCCATCCAGCGAAATGTCTCATTCATCCCCCACCTGACTTCGAGCATTGATGCAGGGCTCGACCTAGACAATGATTATCGTGTGAGCGTTGTCCCTCAATCTCGTTTGACCTAGTCGTGTCATTGTTGGCCGAAAACGAAGTTGAGGCGGAAACGGCCCACAAAATCGCCCAAACCCCGTTTGACTCGAGCCATGCATCGAGATGTTGTCCGCGCCAGCTCGATTAGATTGTTGCCGGTCCTTTCACAGATGAGACATCCCGGGCAGGTGGTCATGGGAGGGTGACCTGAATAGGGGATGAAGCAAGAGACCCGAATGGGCCCTTAGGGAGCCCCCTTCTTCACATCCCACCAAGGCCACCACCTCATGACCCCCCGCCCGAACATCAGGATCGACACATTTCTCCCATCGCTCAGGTTTACGCTCTCGCCACAGCTCGGGCCGCACTTGATGGGCCTGTCTTCCACCACCGCCAACACCATAAGTTGGACGGAGGAAGGAGGTGGAGGAGGTGGTGGAGGAGGAGGAGGAGAAGGAGGAGGAGGAGGAGGAGGAGGAACAGGAGGAGGAGGAGGAGGAGGACCCCCTCCCCCTCCAACTTCTGGTGGTGGTGGTGGTGGAAAACATGCCCATCAACCCTTCTGGATCCGAGTTGCTCCTCCTCGCTCCCGTTGCCCCTCACCCCTCCTCTTCCGCCCTCACGCGGCCCCTCTCGCCTCGCCTCCGCGCCCTGCTCCACAGCAGGGGATAGATGCCCACCCCCATTCCCAGGCTTCGTGGTTTTTTTTCGACTGGACCAACAATTCGGGGCCCAGCTCGGGGATAGGGCGTCCATCCTCGATGAGGGGTGCGTCCGATCGGACCCCCTGGCGTGTAGACGCCGAGTTTCCCCTCGTTGTCTAGGCGGCTGGCCTCTTCGTGGAAGCGCGGGGGGGGACGAGGAATCGCCTGCCTTCCGCATCTCGGAGCAGGGCAAGTTGAGACAGTGGCTGCTCAAAATCAGTCCCAGGACCCCTCCCAGGGTCCACTCGCACCAGTTGTCCGAGCTGCGCACAGCCGTGGCGACGAAGGAGCCCCCCGAAGGCCAACGACCGCTGTCTCAACTGGCCCTGCTCCCTCGCGCTCGCACGCGGGTACCGCCCTCGACCCCATGACAACGAAACCTCGGGCCTGCGCCGCTTGGGGGCGCTCGCGCTCCATGCGGCTCGAGGGCGAGATCGGCAAACTGCGACGGCCCTTGTGCACCGCAGAGACCAGTCGGCAAATATGGTAAAGGCGTTTCCCGGCCCGAAAGCAAGGAAACGTACTATTTGTTTATGGTCCTTGCCCCTCCTCCTCCTCTTGCTCACTCTCCTGCGCCGCCAAGAGTGCCCCCAGAAGCATCCATGAGAACTCTGACCCGCAACCCAGGCAAAGTGGCGGGATGGGCAGAAGGCCATTAGACAATATTTGATACCGTTCGTCGCCCCTCCTCCTCTTGCTCCCTCTCTTGCGCCGCCAAGAGGGCCCCGAGCAACATCCACGAAGACTCCGACCCGCAAGCCGGGCAGGGTGGCGGCATCGGCCGAAGGCCACTTCGACAGCATGGGATTCTGGTCCTCGCCCCTCCTCTTCTCGCTCCCTCCCCTGCGCCGCGCCCACCTGGGCACCCGGGCGGCTGCTCCGCGGGGAGGGGGGCCGCGTGAGCCGCCGCCCGACGAGACGCGCCGCGGCCGCCGCCCGAGGCCGCGGGGCCGAAGAGAGGGCTGCGGGCGGGGCGCGACGACGCCGCGGGCGCCCGAGGGGCCGCCCGAGGCCGCGGGGCCGACGAGCGGCCGCGCGCGGGCGCTGGGACGCCGCGGGCGCCCGAGGAGGGTTCGCTGCCCGTGCTCATGCAGCTCAGAGGCCCGGGGCCGCGGGAAGTGCTCGAGCTCTCGAAGTGCCAGAGGCACGTTCGGGAGTCCGCGCCGATCTCCTGGACCAGCGCTGGACCCCCCTCCCGGGCGCGCGGAACGCGCCAGGGGCGGCGCCAGACAAGCCCATCAGCGTGGGAACGTTTAGACGAGCGCATTCCACTACTCGCAGAGTGCCTACTCGGAAGTGGCCTGGACCCGCTGGGGGGGGGGTCTGCGAGAACTTACACCGAATCGGCCATGTGCTCTTCGGGCGCCTGCGAGCAGGCACTCTGCGAGCAGTGGGACGCGCTCGGCGACTGTTGAAGAAGCACCAGGTTTAGGTCGGGCCTGTCCCCCTTCAAGGGGGATTTTGGACGAAAAATTAAAAAATACTCCCACTAATAATCAAAAGATGCCCCAAAATACTCAAAAAATACTCCCTGACGATTTTTTCACTATTTTTGAATATCCCCCCTGTAGAAGGACAGGCCAGACTCAACACCAGGTCCTCTTGCAGTCCACAGGCCCTGCCAGCATCGAGCCGCGACATCGGAGCGGGCTGGGGACGGGCCCGGCCGCCCGCGGCTCCTCCCGAAGCAAATCGAGATCGGACCGCCCGCCCGGCTCCGACTGGCCCTGGGCGCTGCCGGTGAGTCGAGCCGACCCAAGTCGGCTACACGCAGAAGGAGGGGGAGGAGGAGGAGGAGGAGGAGGAGGAGGAGGAGGAGGAGGAGGAGGAGGAGGAGGGGAAGACAAAAACGAGGAAGAGGGGAGGAGGAGGAGGAGGAGGAGGAGAGGAGGAGGAGGAGGAGGAGGAGGAGGAGGAGGAGGAAGAGGAGGAGGAGGACGCGGAGGATGAGGAGGAGCAGGAGGAGGGAGGATGGGGGCGGCAGTCGGAGACTTCTAACGCCATCAGGAATCAGGAATCAGGAATCAGGAGGATGATGCCCGCGGGGCAAGGCAGCTGTGTCGATCCACAACCACCCCCGCGCGCGCCCCCGCGCGCGCCCTCGCCTCGGCGCGGTCACGCGCCCGAGGCCGTCAGGCAGGCCTCAGCCTCACCTCTTGCCGCCCGCAGCAGCCTCGCCACCTTGGCGGCCATGCCAGGCGAGCAGCTCCTCTCCCTCGCGCGGCGCCTAGGCCTCGGCCACCCTCCGCCGCCGCCCGCAGCCCCTGCTTCGCTTCGAGCAGCAAAGGCCACCTGCAGGCGGCTGGGCCCCCGCTTGCAACCTGGCCTCCTCGGCCTCACCTCCGCGGCCCGCAGCCCCTGCTTCGCATCGAGCAGCAGAGTCACCTGCAGGCGGCTGGTGCTCCTCCTGGATCCTGGCAACCTTGGCCTCGCGCTGCAGCGACGGCGCCGCGCTGCACGCGCGCCTGCTGCGCCGCTGGGGCGCACATCCTGCTTTGGCGCCCTCAGGCGGCTCCTCCAGCCTGGTCCTCAGCAGCACGTCCACTCCGAGCTCCTCTGCGCCGCTGGTCTTCTGCTCGCTTGCACCTCCAGGCGCCCCTTCTGCAGCCATCCTCTGCGAGCTGGCTCCTCCGCCATGGCCAGGCAGGTCTGCAGGCGTAGCTTTCAGCACACCCCCGCCCGCTCCTGCCGCCGCGGCACTGGCCGCCGCTGCCAGGTCTGCCCGCTCGCCAGCCACCTCCTCGTCCAGCAGCTCCCCGCAGAGGTCGTCGAGGCGCGCGATGACGACAGGGACCACCCTCGCCGTGCGGGGCGCGAGCCCCCGCTGCAGCTTGGCCACCACCGCGCTGCCCGACGCGGTAGGCGGCAGCTTGCACTCACCGCTGAAGCCGCATGCCCTGGCAGCGCCCGCGACCCCGCAGAGGCGGCAGGCGACCAGCGGCATCCTGCGCTCCAGCTGCTCGTCCACGGTGGGGCGGATGACCACCAGGTCGTGGGCGGTGCGCCCCTGTTGCCTCAGCCTCCTGTTGGCCTTCGCCGCGTCCGCCACAATGGAGCCTGGGCATTCGCCCACTCTCTCCTACCACCTGCAGACTTCGCGCCACCTGGGCTGCCCAGGCTGCCCTCGCCATGTGCACGCCACCTGCGCAGCTGCTGTGCGCCTCTCAGGAAGCGCCCGCTGCTGCTTGACCTTGCCATGCGTGGTGTCGCTGCCGTCGATCCAGGTGCCCACTGCCGAACACCACAGGGCGACCCTGTCCACTAGGCCTCGGCCACGAGCAAGGCGCAGGCGCTCGTGGCCAGGCAGTCGTCCAGCATCGGCCGCCGCCTTGGCCGCGCGGTCGGCCAGCCGATTGCCGTACCAGTCACGGTACGACACCTTCCCAGCCGCCACCTGCTGCCTCGTGCCGCGGCTGGGCATCCACCTCAGGTGCACCTCGCCGCCCAGCCCTCCACGTTCATCCAGCAGCGCCCAAGCCTGCCTCCACAGGTGCGCCCAGGAATAGCCGCTGGCCGTCGTGCGCATGCGCCCCGCCTGGTAGAAGCCGTCGTAAACGTACTTCGAGTCCACCACAAGCACTGCGCCGCCTTGACCGCACCTCAGGGCCATGATCACCGCCGTGAGCTCGCTGTCGTTGGTGCCGACGTACGGGCCAACCATCTGCCCAGCGATCGAGGCCCTGCACACATCCCCCTCCTCCCTCAGCGCGACAGCACTCCAGCCCGCCGACGCGAACTCGCCGTAGTCCGCCTCGGACACCGAGCCGTCCAGGAAGAGCTCCCCAGCAGGCAGAACTCCTCCCCCATGGCCGCCCTGCCAGCAGACCAGGTTGCTGGCCTGAGGCTTGCGCAACCCCTTCGGCACTGGCCACAGGCACCTCTCTAGCATCAGCTGGATCCCAGGCTCCTGCCACCTCTTCCTGAGGTCCTCGAGATCTGGGGGAAGGGCCAGCACCGCTCGCCAGCAAGCACAATCACAGTGCCTGTGCATCAGGGTGCCCTCAAAGCCGCACCTGAGACACACCCCGAGCAATTGGCAAGCCCATCCTCCGCCCTCCGTGCTTGCGTCCACTGCCCATTGACGATCAGGGACCGCAGGTGCGCCATCTCGCGCTGCGTGAGCCGCACCTTGACTTTGCCAGCTCCTCCTCCTTGCGGCCCATCGGGGTGGAGCACTCTCCCTGCGGTGGTCAACCTCACCAGCGGCTCGAGCTCCCCGCCTGCTGCCAGGTGACCGCACCCTGGGTCCTTGCTGACCTGCCTCCGCTGCCACCTCTGCATCCCTCGCATGACCAACTTGCGCACGACCCACGGCGCTACGCCGAAGGGCGCAATGGTGTTGCCGTCGTCCATGACCCAGCTGTTGGCTGCCTGCACCTCCCACCCGATCCTTCGCAGCGACATCACCGTCGCCGCGCACGGCCCCTGCACGCGAGCCCAGGTGGTTGCCCTCTTGTCCTGCAGGCAGCGGGCGACCATGTGGATGGGCACCCAGTTCCGCCACACCGCCCGCAACAGCATCATCACGGGCATGCAGGTCGCGTCGATGATCGGGTCAAGCCCAGGCTGAAGCATCAGCCCCAGCGACCTGTTCTTGCTGGCCGCGGTGCTGGAGACCGCCACGAACGTCATTGTCCTGGCTCGGTCCAACCCCCCCATCGCGCACCCTGTGATGGCCGCGCCGTAGCCGATGCTAGGGTGCAGCCCCGTATTCACAACCCTCTTTGCTGCGAGCCTCTTGGCCTTCACCATCTTCAGCACCCTGAACTTCCTCAGCCTGTGCCCCGCCTGCTGGCAGCGGCCCGCGCGCACCGCGCGCCCCAGCCTCTTGCCCTCGCTGAAATCGACGCCCAGGTTACGCTCCTGCCGCACCGCCAGCACCCCCAGCGGCTTGCGCAGCCTCCTCTCCAGCTCCTGCCTCGCCTCAGGGAAGTTAGCGACGGCCCTGGACTTTTTGACCGCGACCGCCAGGTCCACCTCGCCAAGCAGGACCTCGAGGTGCCTGGCCGCCGTCGCGACGTCCTCGGCGACGCGCTGCATGCCCAACCCTCCTGACGAAGATGTCATCCACCACCACCGAGAGGGCCACCTTGGGCACCAGCGCCTGCAGCCTGTCCAGCGGTTCCAGCAGCAACATCTTGAGCATGAGCGTTGCCAGACCACCCCCAGGCAGCACAGCCTGCTCCGTGTAGATGGCGTCGCTGACCGCCTCGTCGCGCGCCAGCCACCTGGCTGACCTGTAAAGGCCGACCTGCAACTTGAGCTGCCACAACGGGAACCCCGTCTTCGTTGCCGCACGAATGAGGTGCCCGTGCTGCACCTGCTCAAACGCCCTGGACAAGTCCAGGAGCACCAGCGCGGCGACCCAGCTGGAGGCGTCGCCAGCCTCGCGCCATTTGGCCGCGGCCCACTCGCACCCCACCGCCTGCTGCCAGACAGCCCTCTCGCAGCCCTTCCCTCTGGACGCCCAGAAGAAGGGCCGATCGTTCCTGCTCTCCCACTCGACCGCCGCTGGCCTGCGCAGCCTCGTCTGAATCCTCGCGAGCACGTGGGCGATGGCCACAGGCCTCACTCCTCCTAACCTCTTGGCCAGGAGCACGATCTTGTTGTTCAGCTGCGGCCACTCCGCCGCCAGCCCTACGGCCATCACGACGTCGATGAGCGCACCTAGGCCCTCGTCGCTCAGCTCCAGGAACTGCCGCGGCTTGACAGCTTCGAAGCCCGCCGCGGTGCCCTTCCTGAACGAGCGCAGCACAGCCTCCATCTCCTCCACCGTCCGCCTACCAGGCCGCACGCCCAGATCGCCTGGCCACACCAGCTCCTCATGGACGCACTGCACCCTCCATAGCTTCCCCCTCTCCTGCTCGAGGGCGCCCAGCTCCTGGCAGAGGCTGCGGGAGCCTGCCGCGGAACTGCAGTCGCTGCCCTGCCAGCCGACAGCCACCCCCGTGACTGCATGCAGCCCTCCTGCTCCTCCCTTCAGCTGCCTGTCGACCCACTCGTCGAACTGCCTGCCGCGCTCGTCGATGTCACGCTTGGCGAGCTGGTGAGCGCGCAGCTTTGCCAGCCTGGCCAGGGACGATAGGGCCACGGGGTCCCAGCTCGCAAGCCCTGCATGCTGCAGCACCCGCAGCCACCTGCCCGCCTCCGTGCTGTCGCGGTTGCCTCCCATCTCGCCCCCGGCCTGCTCTTGCCACTGCCTGGCCCTCTGAGGCACCAGCTCTGCCAGCCTTGGCAGGAAGCCGAGCGCATCAATCCGACCTCGGGGCGCCTGGGCCCTCGCCGCGGCCTCCAACGTGTTGGCCACTCTGGCCATCCACGCTGCTTCAGGCGTGTGCCTCGGCGCTCACGGCTCCTGGATCCCACTTCGTTGCACCCTGTTGGTGGAGAAACCCTGCGCCCTGCCCACGTACCTGTCTCTCTGGTCCTCCAGCTGGCACACGTCCAGCCACTTCTCCTCAGCGCACTCCAGGGAGGTGGCGAAGGCCGCGATGAGCGCATCCTTGGCGCGAGTGCCCTCGCGCCCCACGTCGCCTGCACCGCCGCCCAGCCTCTCCTCGAGCACCTCCCCGCGCCTCCGCGGGAGGCGGGCGGCCTTCCCTCACCAGAGGCTGGGGGGCCTCACGCATGCTCCTTCAGCAGCGTCAACCTGAATGAGACTACCCGCGATTTCATACGGTGCCTGGCTCGGATGCATGCTGCCAGTCCCAGCATGGGCGACATCTCCTGGGCAGCCTTCATGCCCACTCTGCGCCACCTCCTCCTCCTCCTCGGGACCGCGCTACATCCCGCAGCCCTGCAGCGCGTCATGCCATTCGGGACCGTGCTGCATGCAGCACTTGCTCAGGCTGCCTCCAGCGGCCTCTGCGGCCAGCGTGGGCGGAGGCGGCCGCGCGCTGCCGAGGGTGCCCCACCTCGCCCTCTGGCCCTCCAATGGTTTTTCGAGGATGCCGTTGGGTATGGCAGCGCCTCGGGGCCACCACCTTCGCTCTGTACGCTGTTGCTGGCCTGAGACACCAGGCCAGTCCTCCTCCTGTGGTTTTTCGAGGCGGCCTAGTCTGCTGGTTCACTGCAACGACCAGCGCGCGCGCCCCTGCTGAGTGCCTCGCGCCCTCCTCAGCCTCATGTGGTTTTCCGAGGATGCCATCGGCAGCGTCTCGGGGCCACCACCTTCCCTGCTCCGCTGGGCGCCCGTCGGCTTCGGCGCTGCCCACCTGCGGCCTCGCCTTCTGGCCTTCGACTCCAACCAGCCCGCGCCCCGCCTCTGCGCGGCCAGGGCCCACCTCATCCTCTTGTGTTTTTTTTCGAGGGTGCCCTCGGCAGCGCCTCGGGGCCACCACCTTCCCTCAGCGCACTCCTACATGCGCGCCGACTCTGCCTCTTGTGGTTGTTCGAGGATGCCCTCGGCAGCGCCTCGGGGCCACCACCTTCCCCTCGCACCCGTGCGAGCCCGGGCCTCGGCGCCCTCCTCTGGCGCCCTCCGCTCGTCAGCAGCTGCTGCCAGGCCTGCCCCTAGCTGCTCCCTCACACGCTTCCTCGCCCGCAACCAGCTGCTGCGATGGCCCTTCGCACAGCATCCGCGCGGCCTTGCCTCAGGAAGCGCCCGAGGCCTCTGCGCCACCCTCATGGCGCCCTCCATCTTCTGCTTGGCGACCTCGACGATACCCCGCCACCACCTGAGCTCCCTGCGCGAGCAGCCCGCGTGACACCAGGAAGTAGTCGATGATCCGCCCAGACGCCATGCAGGCGGGCCCCGCGGGTCTGACCACGGTCGCGTCGAAGAGAGCCAGCACACCGCCTGACTGCAGCTCCTCCTCACTGAGGTTCCAATCCCCGCCGATCACGTACTCTCTGCGGCGCTGCCTGAGCCTCCTCGCCAGCAACTTGAGGCTCGACACGTTGCTGAGGTTGAGGCCAACCCCCGCCTCCAGGTACAGATTGGCGACCAGAAATCCGCTACCACAAATACCCGACACCCAGTGCACGTGAACTCTGCCGTCACCGCACCACCGCCGCCTGCTGGTCCTGGACCTCCGCCATGCCGTGGCTGCGTCGCACCATGGTGATGAGCCCTCCTGTACTGAGCCCGCCTGACTCAGACCTCACCGCTGGCGAACTCCTTGTCCGCCATCCTTGACCACGGAGCTGAGCCTCGGCATCGCCGCTCCGCCCCTCCAGCAGTCTGGTCTCCTGCACCAGGATGGCGTCGCAGCTCTGTACCTCCTGCACCATCAAGCACTTGCCCAGGCTGCTGAACGCGTTGACGTTGGCCGTGCAGATCCTCCAGACGCCCATCCCCTTGCTAGGACTCAGCGTCCATCTCCTCCTCTCCCGTGCGCATCTTCTTGGCCTCATTGATGAGCGCCTCGGCCGCCTTCTCTCTTGCCTGGGTCCACGAACTGCTCCTCCAGCTCCTTCCACGCCTGCTGCACCTCAGGGGATGGCTGCAGCGGCCGCGGCTCCGCCTCAGCAGCCGACCTTGCCACCGCCCCTGCCCTCGCGGCTGCAGCAGCGCCAGCCCCCGCAGGAGGCGGCTGCACAGGATCTGGCACTCCAGACCCTTCCCCTGCCGCCTTGCTCTTCCACTCGAACAGCTTCTCGACCGCCTCGGACAGCTTGACGAACTCCCCGCAGAGCACGTGGTTGGCCGCCACCACGCTGGACTTGGCCCAGCCCGCGATTGCCGCCTTGACCTCTTGCAGGGAGGCAGGGGCGGCGGGCGCTGCAGCCGCCACGTCAGCTGCCACGGCGGTCTCCGCCAACCTGACACTCTGAGCTGCCAGCGCCTCACGCGCTCTGGCGGCTGCCTCAGCCAGCTCCTGCCGCAGCAGCCCCAGCTTCTCCGTGAGGTCCGCCGTCTCGATGATGGCCGCCCTCGCCTTCGCTCTGGCCAGCTCCAGCATGTGCTCGGTCCGTTTGACCTTCTGCGCCTCCTCGTCGGCCAACAGCTGGACGGCTTTGACGGCCTTATCCTTGGACAGGTCGTCGCCCAGCCCTTCGCGCACCAGCCGCCTGGCCTGCTGGAGCTCGTTCCTGATCTTCGCACTGAACAGCTTGGTCGCGATGGCGAACTGCCCGTCTGACATGCTGACGAGCTCGCGACGCTCATCGCCACTGGGCACCACTCCCGCAGCACGCTGCCCTCCTTCGCCGCTCTCGTCGCCACGCCACCACGGCGCACGGGTCGCAGGTGCGCCAGCCCCGGCACGCCCACCACGCCCGCCACCACCAGCGCCAGCAGGAGCACCGCCACGACCTTGAGCCCCTTGCGGCAGGAAGCTGCCCAGGACCCTCTGCGACGGCTTGCCTCCTCCCTGGCACCCGAAGCGACAGCACATGCGCTCGGCGAAGTTGTAGTAGCTGCACTCCTGGCATACCCACCCCACGGGCCCGCCTGAGCGACCTCCTCCACGCCCTTGTCCCGCACCGCGCCCCATCGCGCGCACGACACTGGAGGAGACGCGCCCGACTGCCAGAGCGCAAAGACTCTTGCCTGCCGCGGACTAGCGGTATCCGTGCGATCCCCTCGGGAACCTGGCATCTTGAGCCAAAATGGCTACGGTCAGGAATCAGGAGGAGGAGGCGGAGGAGGAGGAGGAGGCGGAGGAAGCGGGCCCCATGGGCAGGGGCTCCTGGAAGGGTGTCGCCGCTGTCGGGCGGCATGGGACCCTTAAAGAAGCCCCGGAGCCGTCGAGGCAAGGCTCCGGAGGGCGAGCTCTCTTCCTGGGGAAGACCCCCGGGTCCGGGGCCCTTTCTCCCCCGGGACCCCCTGCGACGGCATGGGCTCCTGGAGACATACTGAGGGAGGCGCAGGTTGGCTCGCGGAGGGGGACTGAGGGGGGGATCGAGATGTGGCGTCTTTCCGTATCTGGGAAGAGAGAGGTTCCTTGGATTCGGATGAAGGAGTTGTTTACGGCTGTCAGAATACTTTCCGAGGTTCCCAAATGTCGTCGGGCGTCTTCGGGGGCTTCTGGGGCCCGTCAGCGGCGCACGGCGCACATGGAGGAGGGGCAACGGGACATACGTTCTAGGCGGCATGGTCGTTTCTTGAAAGGGCTGGGAGGCTTCTGAGAGGCCTCTGGTCCGACGAGCCCCCGAGCCGAGCCCACTCGACCCATCCACTCCTACCCGCCGCCTACGTGCCCTTGCCCCCTCAGTCGCAGAGGGCCCAGAGTTGCGAAGGAGGGCAGCGACAGCGATTTCTGACTCGCGCGCCTCCGGCGGGGCGTCACATTCGCTGCTGCACGCTGCGACACGGCGCCCAGCCGCAACTCACGGGCGCGGCACCCCTACTCTGTCCCAGGAGGCTGCGGAAAGTTGACCGCCGAGCGCTCGAGGCCGACCAGCAACAGCACGGGAGGACTCCAGCCACGGGCCAACACCGACTCTGGTCAGGCTCGCCCTCGGCCCAGGATCAACGTGTACGCCGACTCCCTACCAGGCCTGGCCAGGAGGGCGTACAAGTCCTGGGCCAAGGATTGGCCTGGCCGGGATCCTTGTCAGCTGGAGTCTGGCCGACGCCCCTCGACGACCAGCGTGAAGAAGGGCCGCAAGTCAAGTCGTGGCTCCAGCAGCGCAGGAGGCACGGCCGGGTCCACGTGGACGCTGGTCTCTGACACCGTGCAGATCCCGCACATAGCCTGAACGTCCACGGCTGGTCTGGTCCAGCCCCCTGGTGGCCATCCTGTCTTGAGCGCAGGCGCGGGCGCCGCCGCCGCCACCGGCGCAGCGGGAACCTGCCACGGCAGGGCCAGCGCGAGCCAGGGCGGGAGCCGGGTGGTCCGAAGCGATGGGCAACGATGGGGGGTGGCTGGCGCACGGGGGGGGCATCGAGTTGGGATCGGCAAGACATCGCCAGCAGGTCGGCGATAGGCCACAGATAGCGATTTCGAGCGTGTCCGGACGGGGTGGGCCACCGGGCCCCATATCGGCGATGAGTGGGCGACTCACGGCGTCGACTGCCCTCGGGTCCCACATCGGCGATGACTGGGCCATCGGGCTTCACATCGGCGACGAACGGGCCCCCCATCGGAGTCGATGCGCCCCCCCCCCCAGAGCCTCCCTGTCTCGGCGGCGAGCGAGGGGGGGAAGTGAGAAGGGGCGAGCCTTCTCAGAAGGCTCGGAAGTCCCTGGGCCTTCTGAGAAATTGTGGCTCTTGAGATGTCCCGCCGCCTTCTGAGAAGGCCTTCTCCTTCTCATTGTCCCCCCTCGCTCACCGCCGAGTTTCGTCGCCCCAGACGGCGGCAACGCGCGTCCGCCTCCGCGGGCCCCGGCCCGAAAATCGGGAACCAAAAATCTGCGTGCATGCGCGTTCGCTGGGGAGGGCCGGCCGCGCGGCGGAGCGCGCGCGCGCGCGCCAAGCCCTGCCCCTGACACTCCGCCTCCCTCGGCGCCGGCCTGGGCCTCTACCCGACCCATCCCCTTTCAGCCATCGCCCTCGCTCTCCCTTACGCCTACACCTAATAATAGTACCACTACTACTACTACCACCACCACTACCACTGCTACTACTACTGCTACTACTACTACTACTACTACTACTACTACTACTACTACTACTACTACTACTACTACTACTACTACTACTACTACTACTACTACTACTACTACTACTACTACTACTACTACTACTACTACTACTACTACTACTACTACTACTACTACTACTACTACTACTACTACTACTACTACTACTACTACTACTACTACTACTACTACTACTACTACTACTACTA